AGATTCCTCATTTAAGGTCCGATTCCAAGGCAGAGAGCAGAGGTTGGTAAAATCCATGCCGTGTCATGGCCACTTGGACCGGTAGGTCAGTGCACCCTAGGGCAGCTGTGGCTACATCGTAGCTCATCACCATCAGTGTGTGAATGTGTGTGTGAATGGATGAATGATACACTGTAGTGTAAAGCGCTTTGGAGTCCTTACTCTGAGAGGCACTATACAAATGCGGGTCATTTATCTTTTATCAGTCAGATGATCCGATGAGCCGCCATATCCAGGAATAATGGGCCGGATCCATCAAGGAATTAAATCCAAAGGACCCGAGGTTCCGTCAGTAGCTCGCTGGATGGCTCAGATTCTAACGAGCACACCAGAGTGCCTTCCTCGTCTCTGTGCCCTCTTCCAGGGGTGGCCTGGGACCAGACGCAGCAAGGTGGGAGTGGCCGAGATGACAGGTGGAGGAGGAAAGTATGAAGACTGTTCTTCCATATTATTCCAATCTCACTTCTTTAAACTCAAACAACCCCAGAGTACTTTATACAGCAATTAACTCAGTTCTGAAGCTAAATGATCATCATGTGCTGCAGGCTTCAGCTAAAATGTGTGATGAGTTCCGTAACTTTTTTATTGGGAAAGTTGCTGCGCTCCGGGCTACCATGTCTAGGGCACCGGTATGTGGCCGTTCTGTTACTGCCATCAGAGGTTTGGTGGCATTTCAACAAATTAGTCTAGATGATTTGATCAAGATTGCTGGGAAGGCTAAAGCCTGGTTTATGCTTCTCCGTCAGCTCCGCAAGGGACAGACACGCACGGATTGACGGAAGCGTTTTGCTCTTGTACTTCTCCGTCTCCTGGGGAGTGTTGCAAAGCAATTGCCCGGCAGGACCACAGAGGGCGTAGCGCTGTTCTGTGGTATCCTGTCATGTATCGGCCCAAGATCGTGTGTTTATATTGTGTTTTTTGTGTATATAAGAGACTTTTAACACGGACATATTTGTCTCTCATTCTCCCACCGCTTCATGCGCTCCCCACCTCTAAACCCATGTTTCCTGTCATTTCCGTCCACCAATAAAACGCTTGCTGCGCATCTTTTCACTCCTCCAGTCACGGGAGGATGAAACGTTCATATTTTTAGAGTTTTTTCGCGAGGTATTCTTCAAGCTTCTCCGTGTCTGCCGCTAGTTATCCTCGGCTCTCTTTGCAATGGCGGCGCTGTAAACAACAGCGGCGTCCTGACCAATCACAAGCTTGCGTAATCCGTTTCGTTCGACGGATGTTTAAAAAAGTGGGCTCGACTCCGTACGTAGTTGCGTGCCTGCCGGAGCCCTACGCAAGGACGGATAATGGCGTTGCGTGTCTCCGCACTGACGCAGACGGAGAAGCATAAATCAGGCTTTAGCCGAGCAGCTCGCCGGATGACATGATACCAAAGCACCTCTTTAAAGAAGTCTTTCCAGTAGTCGCCCCTCTAATATTGCACATAATTAACATGAGTCTCAGTTCTGGTACAGTCCCTGACAATTTCAAAAAGGCGGTTATTCAACCTTTGCTCAAAAAGCCTGGACTGGATGCTTCGCTGGCTGCAAACTACAGGCCCATTTCGAAACTTCCTTTCTTAAGTAAGGTGCTAGAGAAATGTGTTTACCACCAGCTCTTGGTTTTCATGGATGAGAATGCCATTTTTGAGACTTTCCAGTCTGGCTTCAGAGCTCTACACTAGGGCTGTCGCGGTTGAGGAATTCCTCCTGCGGTGATTCAGGGTGGCTTAATATTGCGGTATGCGATATTATTGCAGTCCTTTTTTAATTGCAGCACTATCTAAACATAATGTTTACACATTTAAAAAAGGTTAAAAATTTCCGTGCCTTCTTTTATAAGGCTTTACTGAATGCAGATCAAAGGGCAGTAACAACACAGATCGCAGTAACGTTTGTTTCTCCGACAGTCGGAGTCCGACTGAACTTAAAAACAACAAAATTCAGGAGAAGGTTAAACTTTTAAATGCAAATTTGGCTGCAGCATCTAACAAATAAGAAACAAGTCCCCATTTTGTTTAGTTGTTTAAAATCAAGCATAAAAAATTACATGTACCGGGCGTGCGCGCGCCGGGGGGCGGGCGCACTATCATTTCACTTTCACACACACGAATGACGGTGCTTTATAGCTCGGTCACGTCCTTGTTACCTACAAGGAAAACCAGCATGTTAACCATATACGGTTTGAGAGAGGATCTGAGAGGGGTGGCAACATTTCCAGCAACACTGAAAACCCTCTCGGATGGTGCGCTCGTTGCACTTACCCCAAATTCCACTACCTCCGCTCCCCTCCACTCCGGTCCGGCCCCGCTCGCTTCCGAACTCAACTTGCGTGCGACTGGCGAGCAAAGGGAATCTCTCCCGGTTGTTGCTCCACCATGTCAGGGTGGTTTCTTTAGGGTGGATGCATTCCTCCTGCAGGTAGCGAGTGAGCTCCAGCTCGGCTCAAACTCTCTTTGGGACGGTTGCAGAAGCAGTGCTTGTCCGGGACTTCAGTAGGTCTCCGAGCGTTTATTATTATTTTTTGCCGCTGGTGGCAGCTCTGTCTCGGCCAAGGACCCTGGCTGCGCAGCAGCTGACGTACTGAAAACCAAAGTGCTCCCAAAGGAGCGAAGTAACGTTTCGTTTTGATACCAGTGCAGCCATCCTTCTCAACATGCATCATTGAGTTGAACCAAGTTCAGTAATCGCGGTGGCCCATGATGCAGCGCGGTGGGCTTCTTCATATTGCGATATTTCATTTTTGCGGTTACCGCGACAGCCCTACTCTACACAGCATGGAGACTGCACTGGCTAGAGTGCTCAATGACATCTATCTAGCGACTGATAGCGGTAATTCTGTGTTGTTACTTCTGCTGGACCTCACGACCACCTTTGACACGATAGATCATGAAGTGCTGTCAGGATTTCAGGGTTAGCCCTGGAATGATTTAGGTCATACCTGACAAACAGAAAAATGTGTGTTAAGATGGGAAGTTATTCCTCAGAGTATTCTGATCTACCCTGGGGGGTACCACAGGACTCGGTATTGGGACCTCTGTTATTTTCTGTTTACATTCTGCCCTTAGGTGACATCTGTCATGAGCTTGGAGTTCAATTCCACCTATATGCTGATGATTGTCAGCTGTACCTGCCTCTGAACACGTCAAGTGGTCTCTCTATTTCTGTTCTTACGAACTGTTTGAGGGAGATCAAGACCTGGATGACTGAAAATTTTCTGAGCCTAAATGATCAGAAAACAGAGGCTGTATTGTTTGCTCCAAGCAGACATTGTGACTCTTCCCTAACTGACTGTGGGTCATTTAATGGCCAGCTGACTACAATGGTGACTAATCTTGGTGTTAAACTGGATAGCGCCCTTAGTTTTGACAACCACATCAATGGAGTTATCTCCTCCTCCTTTTTCCACATTTGTCGGCTGTCAAAGGTCAAACCATTTTTGTCACGTCATGATCTTGAGACGGTGGTCCATGCTTTTATTACGGTGCGATTGGACTACTGCAACTCTGTTTTATTCTGTGTGAGCAAGGGCTCAATAGCCCGGTTGCAAATGGTGCAGAATGCTGCTGCCAGATTTTTAGAGGGCAGGCGCAAGTTTGACCACATGACTCCTGTCCTGGCTGCGCTTCATTGGCTGCCCGTTGATGTAAGGATTCGTTTTAAAATACTCTTATTGGATTTTAAAACATTAAATGGTTTAGCCCCTCCTTACTTGGTGTCACTGCTTCAACCATACACCCCTTCATGGTCACTCCGCTCAGAGAACCTCATGCTCCTCTCGGTCCCAAGAACGCGCCTAAAGACATGTGGTGATAGGGCCTTTGCGGTGGCAGGTCCTAAGCTTTGGAACAAGCTTCCTCTCAGCATAAGGGCCTCCACCTCTGTTGCAGTTTTTAAGGCAAGGCTAAAAACCTACTTTTATGATCTGTCTTTGAGCCTTTCTAACTAGTTTTATTGTTAAACTTATAGCAATCTGTGTACTCACTGTATTTTCATCTGTATCTTGCGATACAATGTTTTTATTTTCTGGACTTAATGTTTTATGTTTTTTACTTGATCAGTGTAGCGCCTTGGTGGCATCTTTTTGCCTGTAAGGCGCGATTTACAAATAAAGTTGAGTTTGAGTTCCGTTAAAATACCACTCCGAAAAAATTCATGACTCCTTAATCTTAAAAATTGACTGGCGATCATAAGCAAGGAGACCAGATACATTCCAAACCAGCACAAATAAAACATGTTACAGGAAAAATCTCAGTGCTAAGAGATGAGTCGCCATGCACACTGCTGGCACCGTCATTACTCTCCTGGCCAAATTTCTCCGGACAAAGTTCAAACACCACTAGAAACAATACTTAGTATATATGTTGTGTGTGTGTGTGTGTGTGTGTGTGTGTGTGTGTGTGTGTGTGTGTGTGTGTGTGTGTGTGTGTGTGTGTGTGTGTGTGTGTGTGTGTGTGTGTGTAATGAGTCGTGGCGGATGGCTGCTTATACTGACCCAGGATCTGCTGAGAACCTTTTAACTAATTGTCATAATGAACTGAAGTCAACTGGAAAGTTTTACTTTAAGTGCCTTGAGACAATTTTTGTTGTGGTTTGGCGCTATATAAATAGACATATATATATATACATATATATATATATATATATATGTATATATATATATATGTCTATTTATATATGCTTCTTTTGCTTCCTCTCAAATGATGAGACTACCAGGAATATTCACCTTTCCTGAGGCATAATTATATTACGTTATAATGAATATAATTGAATAGAAATCCAAAATCTAATAGACAAACAGGTAAGGGGGCATGCAGACCGGTACGTGTGAGATAGACAGACAGGTAACGGTTGCGGAACGTGCAGAACTGCCCACGCGCCTCTGGTTACTGGATAAACAGAACAAAACATAAAGCATGAGCTGGGCGTGCAGACACGCGCACACGCACAGCTGCCGGTCGTTCTCACCTTAAATTATCGAGACGGTTGGATGCAGAAGCCAAACCGGATCCGTCACCGCCTGTGCCGCGTTCCTATGAGTCTTCCTAAATCCAGTTCCGGTCCAGTGGGTATGGGTCCGGACTCTGCTCTTCTCTTCCGCAGCAACCGCAGATCTGAGACCCGCAAAACCTTCTCGGGCCGCCCGAGGTGCACTTGGATCGAGTGCGCGTGCGCGGATCAGTGTTTGGGAGGGAGTCATATTGGGGACCATGGGTGGGCGTGGCCATGGGCAAAGCTGCAACAAGGATCATTACACGGTAGCTGGCAGGGGCGATTCTAGGATCAGAGGTTTAGGGGTGCTGAGCACCCAGAGAGCTGCCCATCCAAGGCAAGATTAATTTCAGGTTTTGTACATTTTAACACAATCTCACTGCCACATTTGTAAAACAAAATCAAAACACTCTCTTCCACAAATAAAGAAAAGGTTTCAGAAATCACAAGCAATGCTTTAGGGATTCTATTACAACAATCTAGTCCAGATTCAAAGGCTTTAGTGATTCCCAGCTCCCTTCCTCGAGGGCCGGTTTCCAGCATGTTTTACTGTTCCCTACTTCAACACACCTGATTTTATTCAGCAGGTAACTAGCTGGCCTCTGCAGAGCTTGTGAGACGCTGCAGAGGTGAATCAAGTAAGTTTTATTACAGTGTGACAATTTGAAAGTGGTTGCCTGTAATAACTTTCCAATTTAATATAAAGGTATTCAATAAAATGTAATATTCATAAAAATATGGATTATCATTGCTGATGAAATTAGGTACTTTGAGTAAGGGAAACAACTCTATAATATTTTTACACAGAGGCAAAAAAATTATGGTTTATAAAAAATTAATTTATTACTTTATTTCTATTATCAATGATTATGAATGATGAATCACAGTGATATTAAATGAGACAATGAATGAACTCTGGTGAAACATGACCTGGTATGTTTGAACAGCTTCACTATGTAGCGTACCAAATGGCCATGTTTTCCATCAAAAATGACCTGAAGTTAACTTTTGACCTACAGGCCAAACTTCTTCACACAGGTAATTCTGACACCGTGGTGTGGATAAGAAATGACCTTGTGTGCCACATCTTAACCTTCTGGTCTCCAAACCAGAAAACACACTTCACTACAACCTCGTTACCAAGAAGGGGATCCGTAATAAATCCTTCTCCCGACTCCCTTATCTTAGCTGGAAAACCAAAGTCCCATGCAGAAAACGAGACTTTTACTCTCCGAATAAAGCTTCTCTTTTAGCCCATAAATTACTGCAAAACGTCATATATATATTCTGTTGAACGAACAATTTGTTCAAATCCAAAGTGTTTGATTAATGTGTTCTATACTTTACATTGTGGGTTAAAATTAATATTTTTCCTGTAATGGTTTTTTTCAGATCTTAAATTACACCAAATCAGTGATTGTTGAATTAATAATATTTATCACTGGTCCAGGATCCTATGAACCCAGTTATGATTTTAACAGTAACCCACATATCGGACTTGGACCCTTGCACACCTCTCACATTCCTGTAATCAGCAGAGAGCGATCACATAAACATAAACCTAACCGGTCTAATCTTAATAATCTTAAACAGCTGTCAATAATCTCACCCCCAGTCAATCACACAGTCACTCCACCTTTAGTTACTATCAATATGGCTCTTTTAAATGTTCGCTCTCTGCTGAACAAAACTTTTATTATAAATGACCTCATTTTAGATAATCATCTTAAATGTGTATTTTTGACAGAAACATGGCTGAGTTCAGATGCTCCTGCTGTTCTCACAGAGGCCTCCCCACCAAACTTTAATTTTACTTATTCAATAAGAAATGGAAAAAAGAGAGGCGGAACTGCTCTTATAAGCTCTTCCACACTTTTCGCAAAACAAGTTTTATTTGATAACTACACCACATTCGAATATTGTGCAGCCATTTTCAGCGATCTTCAGATTTTGTGTGTTACTCTTTATAGGCCTCCGAGGCCCAGCACACTTTTTATACAGGAATTTTCCGAGTTTTTATCAATTCTGCACAACTCTTTTGACAGTATTATTTTAGCTGGTGATTTTAATTTACACATAGATGACCCTGCAGACCCTTTGACCACTGAATTTTTAAACATTTTGAGTTATATGGATTTTACACAACATGTTGCACAACCAACCCACGACAGAGGACACACCCTGGACTTGGTCATCACATATGGTCTGTCCACCGGTGTGTCCTCTGTCGTGGATTTAGCGATCTCAGATCATTTCTGTGTGTTTTTTAGCATTACCAGCATAATTCAGCAGGAGACCTCTGTGAGAACTGTAATGAAACGCCATCTAACCCCTGAAGTGGCTGCTGGTTTTCTGGAAACTTTTAAAAAGATCCCTCCTATTAATTCAAATGCCCCCTGTGATTTTATCTTCAATGATTTTAACAGCAGACTTAAATCTACTCTGGATTTGCTCGCTCCACCTAAGATTAAAAAGCTACAGCCAAAACCGGCTTCCCCTTGGAGCAATGAAAACTTAAAAATGTTGAAAAGATCTTGCAGGGCGGCGGAGAGAAAGAGGAAATATGAGAACACAATTAATAAACAAATATACACTGAATTATTAAAATCATACAACAAGGCTGTTAGACATTCCAGAAATAATTACTTTTCTAAAATCATCTCGGAACACAAAAATAATCCCAAAATTCTGTTTTCTGCAGTCACAAATATTTTGGGTCGTGAATGTAGTTCTCTCCAGAAAACCCCCTCGGACTCTCTCTGTGAGGAGTTTGCAGCCCACTTCAGAGGGAAGGTAGACACCATCAGACGTAACATTTTATCCTCCCAATGTCATGCTGCTCCCGATCAATCTGAGAGTGTGCGTCTACCTGAGGAAACACTGGACAGTTTTGTCTTGGTTGAAGTTGAGACTATTGATAAAGTTTCCTCCTCAGTGAGGCCCACCACGTGTGTTCTGGACCCGATCCCCACAAGGTTTTTTAAACAATTTTATGACTCATTTAGAGATGAGATTTTAACTTTGAACTGTTCCCTTCAGACGGGGGTCTTTCCTGCTGCTTTTAAACGGGCGGTGGTGAGGCCCCTGCTGAAGAAGAGCAATTTAGATTTTAATGACTTTAACAATTTCCGACCGGTATCCAACTTACCATTTTTAAGCAAAATTTTAGAGAAGCTTGTTTTAATTCAACTCAATGATTTTATCAACCACCAACATGTCCTAGAGAAATTTCAGTCTGGTTTTAGGGTGAACCACAGCACTGAGACGGCCCTTCTGAAGATTTTAAATGATTTTAGAACAAATTATGATGCTCGGAGGGCAACAGTGTTGGTTCTGCTGGATCTAAGCGCTGCCTTTGATACAGTAGACCACACTGTTCTTTTAACCCGTTTGAAACAGATCAGCCTCTCTGGTGCTGTTCACAGTTGGTTTACTTCCTACCTCACAGACAGGACTTTTATGGTGAGTCTGGATACCTGTTCCTCTGGGGTCCACAGCATCACATGCGGGGTGCCTCAGGGATCAATTCTAGGCCCAGTACTTTTTAACCTCTATATGCTCCCTCTGGGCAGCGTCATCAGGAGACATGGGGTGAATTTCCACAGTTACGCTGACGATACACAGTTGTACATCTCCGTGTCTCCTGATGACTCTCAGCCAATGGAAACACTTTTTAATTGCATTTTAGATATTAAATCATGGATGACTAAAAACTTTCTCCAGCTCAACCAGGACAAAACTGAAGTTTTAGTCATCGGTCCTGAGGCCCAGAGAGAGAAACTTTTACCTAAACTACAGTCAATGTCTTTTTATCCATCACCACAAGTGAAGAATCTGGGTGTTATTTTCGACTCTGGGCTGACTTTTATCCCCCACATTAAAAACATCACAAAAATAGGTTTTTACCATCTTAAGAATATCGCCAGAGTCCGCCCCATTCTCTCTCGGGCCAATACGGAGACGCTAGTGCATGCTTTTGTAACCAGTAGAATTGATTACTGCAATGCCCTGCTTTCTGGTCTTCCCAAAAAGAGCATCTCAGGTTTACAACTTTTACAAAACTCAGCAGCACGTGTCCTGATGAAGACCAGGAAGCGGGAACACATCACTCCGGTTTTAAAATCACTGCACTGGCTCCCCGTATGTTTCAGGATTGATTTTAAGGTTCTTTTAATGGTTTTTAAGTGTCTTAATGGTCTTGGGCCTTCTTATCTTTCAGAACTGCTTTTACTGTATAAACCCTCGCGGTCTCTGCGCTCCTCTGGCAGCCGTCTCCTAGTTATCCCTAAAGTTAAGACTCACACCCACGGCGAGGCGTCCTTCAAGTACTACGGCCCTCGCCTTTGGAACGGGCTGCCGGAGGACCTCAGGTCCGAAGGGAACATCCAGGCTTTTAAGAATAGGCTCAAGACCCACCTTTTTAGCTTAGCTTTTAACTGATTACTATTTATCTATAAATACATATTTATCTCTTTTATTATTTTTATCATTTTATATACATCTTAGTGTTTTTATATGATTATGTTTTCTTTTACTATCTTTATAATCACTTTTTATCAGTTACTTTTTATCATTATTAGCTTTTATTATTTTATATGTTATATATCTTAAATCCTCCAGTGTTTCCTCTGCGGAGCCCTCTGCCTTGGGGCCGGTGGTCAGGGGCGGCGGCGGCCGGGGCGCTCCCCAGGTAGTGCCCGGGCACTGGTGGGGGTTTCTGCCCTACGCCACTGGGCATCATGGGCCAGTGTCTTGGCTCCTGCCGTGGATCTGTTGCAGCCAGGGCAGATGGCTCCGCTGATGATGTGTCGTTCATTACCTGACCCATCTGAACTCAGCCTATTGTTTCCTCTGGTGTTCACGAGTGTGCGTGTGTGTGTGTGTGTGTGTGTGTGTGTGTGTGTGTGTGTGTGTGTGTGTGTGTGTGTGTGTGTGTGTGTGTGTGTGTGTGTGTGTGTGTGTGTGTGCGGGTGATTGTATGTCCACTTTGGAAGTTGGGTGCGGGAGGGGAACTGTAATTTTTAATTGTTTTATACTTGGGGAGGGGGGCTGGGATGGGAATGTGGGATCTATGGGGCCATTTTAATCTGTAAAGCACTTTGAGTTGCATTTTTTGTATGAAAAGTGCTATATAAATAAAGTTGATTTGATTTGATTTGATGATCAGTATGAACACAATGATATCTGTCACACCC